ATGAATGAATAGAACCGCAGTCTCCGTGGGGTATGCTGTCTTGTATGGAGATGGACAGAAATCTGCACAGCCCAGGAAAAAGACCTCTACATGGTTACTGGTCATACTGAGACTCTCGCATCATTCCTCTGGTACCCTGACCAGTGCAGCCAGTGGGACACTCGAGGGAAGGTAAAAATAATCCAAGTTCTCAGCCAAGCACTTACGCCTGTAATCCCAGCACTTTGGGAGGCCGAGGTGGGTGGATCACCTGAGGTCAGGAGTTCGAGACCAGCCTGACAACATGGAGAAACCCCATCTCTACTAAAAAATACAAAATTAGCTGGATGTGGTGGCATATGCCTATAATCCCAGCTACTTGGGAGGCTGAGGCAGAAGAATCGCTTGAATCTGGGAGGTGGAGGTTGCAGTGAGCCAAGATGGCGCCATTGCACCCCAGCCTCGGCAACAAGAGCAAAACTCCGTCTCAGAAAAAGAAAAAATAATAATCCAAGTTCTCCCTCCATGCGAGCCCCACACTCCCATGGTCCTGTCTGTCTCAGCCTTCTCCTGTTCTGACACTCCTTGAGATCAGAGTCAGCACAGCTGAGTGAAAAGACACTTGGGCAGAGGGTCTGTTTTCTCTTCTGTAAAATGGGAATAATGCATAATAAACATGGTCCTGCACACCTCCCTGGGTACCAGTCTCTGCTAAGGCAGTGGAGTACAGTGGTAAGAGAGGCTTCAGAGCAGAGAGAACTGGGTTCGAATCCCAGGTCTGCCACTTTTTTTTTTTTTTTTTTTTTTGAGACAGAGTCTTGCTCTATTGCCCAGGCTGGAGTACAGTGGTGCGATCTTGACTTGCTGCAGCCTCCGCCTCCTGGGTTCAAGCGATTCTCCTGCCTCAGCCTCCTGAGTAGCTGGGACTACAGGTGCATGCCACCATGCCCAGCTAATTTTTTGTATTTTTAGTAGAAACAGGGTTTCACCATGTTAGCCAGGAATATCTCGATCTCCTGACCTTGTGATCCGCCCACCTCGGCCTCCCAAAGTGCTGGGATTACATGCGTGAGCCATTATGCCCGGCCCAAAAACATTTCTTAGTTTTAAAAAGAGAAAATAGGCTGGGCGAGGTGGCTCACACCTATAATCCCAGCACTTTGGGAGGCGAGGCTGTTGGATCATGAGGTCAGGAGATTGGGACCATCCTGGCCAACATGGTGACACTCCGTCTCAACGAAAATACAAAAAAAAAAAAAAATTAGCTGGGCAGGGTGGTGCATACCTGTAGTCCCAGCCACTCGGGAGGCTGAGGCAGAAGAATCACTTGAACCTGGGAGACGGAGGTTGCAGTGAGCCGAGATTGCGGCACTGCACTCCAGCCTGGCGACAGAGCAACAGAGCAAGACTCCGTCTCAAAAAAAAAAAAAAAAAGAAAGAAAACAGAAAATATAGATATATAGATTACCAGAAGGCCCAGGGGATTACATACCTGTAAAAAGATTCTTGTTCATTTATTAAACAGTCTCTATTGGAAACCTTACAATCCCGGTTGACCTGCTATTATCTCTGTTTAGTTTGGTATTAAGCTGTCTCCTGACAGGACCTCAGTGGCTTTGTCATTTGTATTATCTGTATGTTTTCGGGCGTGAAGGAGGAAGACTGTGTTGGGAGGTGGGTGAGGGTTATGGGGAGGGAGGCTGCAGCGGCCAAACTTCTAAAAATATATTCCTTTTACATGGGCAAACGCATTTTCATTTCCACTTGCCTGATTTAAGTATGTGGCCTTGTCTTCTTGGAATTTACTTTTTTTTTCCTTTGAGATTGAGTTTCACTCTGTCACCCAGGCTGGAGCACAGTGGTGTGATCTCGGATCATTACAACCTCTGCCCACCCCACCGCCGGGTTCAAGCAATTCTCCTGCCTTGGCATCCCCAGTAGCTGTGATTACAGGCACCTACCACCACACCCGGCTAATTTTTGTATTTTTAGTAGAAACAGGGTTTTGCTATGTTGGCCAGGCTGGTCTCAAACTCCTGACCTCAGGTGATCCACCTGCCTCAGCCTCCTGAAGTGCTGGGATTACAGATGTGAGCCACTTGTGCCCAGCCGGAATTTACATATTTTTAACAATAGATTTCTAGAAAAGAGAGAGATAAGAGTAGAGAAAGAACAAGGACTGCAAAACAGAAAAACGGCCCAACAGGGTGGGCGGCAAGCCTCGACCTTATTTTCACAGAGCAAATGTTGCTTCTCCCTCTCCCCCGCCCACCCCAGACTCACCAACTTCACTGTCCCTGCCCCCTGAGCACACCCTGCTGCCATGCTCACTCCGGTCCCCTTTAGCCTTAGATCTCTGCCAGGACTGCGGGCTCCAGGCTGCCAGCCACTTGCCTTGGGTGCCCTACAAATTCTGAGACCAGATCCAAGAACCAGACAACAGAGAATAACAGGAGTACAAGCCCAAAGCATGCAAAATTCCCAAATCAAACCCAGCCCTCAGGGACCAGCTGTGCTCCAGGATGGAGGGACACAGAGACACAAAGACAACCCAGGCCTCCGTGGCTCACCAGGGCACACAGCCAGCAGTGAAATGGTGTCAGAAAGGTATGTGCTCTGGGGCCAGCTATGGTGGTTCATGCCTATAACCCCAGCACTTTGCGAGGCCAAAGTGAGTGGATCACCTGAGGTCAGGAGTTCGAGACCAGCCTGGCCAACATGGTGAAAGCCCATCTCTACTAAAAACACAAAATTAGCCAGGCGTGGTGGTGGGCACCTGTAATCCCAGCTACTGGGGAGGCTGTAGCACCCAGAATCTCTTGAACCTGGAAGGCAGAGGTTACAGTGAACAGAGACTGTGCAACTACACTCCAGCCTGGGTGACAGTGTGACACTCCATCTCAAAAAAAAAAAAAAAAAAAGGTATATTCTCTGGGCCCTCAGAGGAAGGAGCCATTAGTCTCTGGGTCAGATTCTGACCTGTGGCAATGAGGCCAAAGGCCTGGGGCCAGAGAACAGCCCATGGCCAGGCGGCGCACCCAGTGAGGGCAGGGGGTGCCTGAGGCTGGGCAGGCTGTGAAAGGCCAGAGCTGCCACCACTGGCTTCATCCCAGTCAGTGGTACTGAGTTTCAGATTTCAAGGGCCAGTACAAGTTCAACCAATCTTAGGGGACTTTAATTGGCCAAATAAGGCCAATTAAAACCCAAACCAAAAACATGACACCAGCTACTGCTTCCTATTACCATTCTTTCCCAAAGGGCATTTAACACCAAGATGGTTGGGATGAGAAGAACTGAAAATGAAAGCCAGTCTTCTTCCCCCACCGAAGACAGCTAGCAATTGTCTACTGACATACAAGCGGTCACTACATTGTCCCTGTGGTTCTCATTTTTCGGCAGACAAATGGAAACTTCCTCACTGAGTAGGGCTGGGAACCACATCTGTGGGACCAGTGAGAGAGTTACGCCTGTGTGTGATTAGTAGATAGAAAAACTCAAGGCCGGGTGTGGTGGCTCACCCCTGTAATCCCAGCATGTTGGGAAGCCAAGGTGGGTGGATCACAAGGTCAGGAGTTTGAGACCATCCTGGCCAATATGGTGAAACCCTGTCTCTACATAATTAGCCGGGCATGATGGTGGGTACCTGTAGTCTCAGCTACTTGAGAGGCTGGGGCAGGAGAATCACTTGAACCCAGGAGGCAGAGGTTGCAGTGAGCCGAGATCGTGCCACTGTACTTTAGCCTCAGGAGACAGAACGAGACTCCATCTCAAAAAAAAGAACAACAAAAACTCAAAATGAGGTAAAATGTATGCGTGCCAGCCATGATGCCCACCGCAGGGTTTATGGCACCACCAGTGCAGTAGGATATAGCTGGTATTCCTCAGGAAGAAGAAAAGCTCCCATGGGTAAATTAGTTTGAGAAACACTGAGACTTTTTTTTTTTTTAAAAAAAGAGGGAGTCTCGCTCTGTCACCTAAGCTGGAGTGCAGTGGCGTGTCTCCACTCACTGCAATTTCCACCTCCCGGGTTCAAGTGATTCTCCTGCCTCAGCCTCCCAAGTAGCTGGGATTACAGGAACATGCCACCACACCTAGCTATTTTTTAATTGTATTTTTAATTAATTAATTAATTTTTTTGAGACGGAATTTCGATCTTGTCGCTCAGGCTGAAGTACAGTGCCACGATCTCAGCTCACTGCAACCTCCACCTCCTGGGTTCAAGTGATTCTCCTGACTCAGCCTCCGGAACAGCTGGGATTACAGGAACCCATCACCACACCCAGCTAATTTTTGTACTTTCAGTAGAGTCGGGGTTTCGCCATGTTGGCCAGGCTGGTCTTAAACTCCTGACCTCAGGTGATTTGCCCACCTCAGCCTCCCAAAGTGCTGGGATTACAGGCGTGAGACACCGCACCCAGGCAACACTGAGACCTTTAAAAAGTTATTAGTCATGCATTTATCGTGCAAGTGATCTATGAAGATCGGACTCCAATATGCAGTGTCCCTGTAATTAACGTGACGATGGAAACCTCTTATCAGTACTGACATAGACTGTAGGAGTCCTGAAGAAATTCATTCATTTTTCTTTTCTTTTCTTTTTTTTTTTTGAGATGGAGTCTTGTTCTGGTGCCCAGACTGAAGTGCAATGGTGTAATCTCTGCTCACTGCAACTTCCACCTCCCAGGTTCAAGTGGTTCTCCTGCTTCAGCCTTCTGGGTAGCTGGAACTATAGGCATGAGCCAGCATGCCTGGCTAATTTTTGTATTTTTAGTAGAGATGGGGTTTTGCTATGTTGGCCAGGCTGGTCTCGAACTCCTGACCTCAAGTGATCTGCCCACCTTGGCCTCCCAATGTGCTGAGATTATAGGCATGAGCCACCGTGCCTGCCCTCATTAATTATTTAGCAGGTGTGAGGTTAACATGGGTAAGATGAGAACAGCTGTGCAAGCCCCAGGAGCACCCAGCAAGTGTCAGCGAATGATGGCACCCACGCACCCGCCCAGCAGGCAACAGCCATGTACCTCCAGGTCAGAGTTGATGGAGAGGACCTCGGAGGAGCTGCTGGAAGACACTCGGACCCGGATGACCTGAACGGGAGGATATGACGGGGGCTCCTGCAGGGACGAATCTCCAGTGCTCGTCTGTCCATCACCTGGCAGCCTGGTGGCACTGCAGCCTGCCTACAAGGAATGTGAGAAAGGGCAGACAGGGACAGGTATTTTAGTCTTGGTGGATGAAGTGTCAAAGCATTCGCAAACTTCAGTGTTCAAAATGTACAAAAGGGTGTGCAGGGCAGCGTCCCCCTGTGCTCTCCTGCCTTGGCCATCCAGTTCTCCCCAGGGGCAGCCACTGCCCAGTGTCAAATGCACATACACATATTTCCCTTGCTTTCCAAAATGGTAGCACACACTCCATTCTCTCAAGCATCTTGCTTTTTTCCACCTAACACTTATGCCTTAGAGATAGTTCTAAATCAGAAGATTGGGGCAGGAGGGGTTGGTAGCACTTTAGGTGTTTCCAGTCTGTTTCACCAATCCCCTACTAATGGGTGTTTAGTGTGTTTCCAGCCTCTTGCAGTAAATTACACTGTACATCTAATATTTCAGGATAAAGGATAAATTCCTAGAGGTGGAATTGCTGGATTAAAGAGAGTATGTACATTTGAAATCTGCATAGCTACTGCTATAAATGTACCCCATAGAGGCTTTCCCCATGCCACCAGCAGGGAATGAAAGTGAGTTGGGATGAATTAGGAAGGTTTAAGGTAGAAAGGAACTTGTGAGATTTTCTCTCTGTGTATCTACCTACCTACCTGCCTACCTACCTGCCTACCTTCCTATCTATCTATCTATCCATCGCAGACCAAAGCTTCCTCACATGGGCTCACGTAGACTCCCTCAGAGATCTACAGAGCTCCACCAGCTGAACTTCTGGAGTCCTGCAGAATTCACATCATTCCACTGACACACAACAGGACAACCAACCTGCTTTCTAGACCAGCCTCTTCCACTAAATTAACCATGTGACCTAATGTATTGTTCATTTTCACGATGCTAATAAAGACATACCTGAGACTGGGAAGAGAAAGAGGTTTAATGGACTTACAGTTCCACATGGTTGCAGAGACCTCACAATCATGGTGGAAGGCAAGAAGGAACAAGTCACATTTTACACGGATGGCAGCAGGCAAAGAGAGAGCTTGTGCAAGGAGCTCCTCTTTTTAAAACTATCAGATCTCGTGAGACTTATTCACTGTCATGAGAACAGCAGGGGAAAGACCTGCCTCCATGATTCGATTACCTCCCACTGGGTCCCTCCCACAACACATGGAAATTCAAGATGAGATTTGAGTGGGGACACAGCCAAGCCACATCACCAAAGAAAGACAGTTGTCCTCTCTGAGTCTCAGTTACCTAATGTCTATAAAAGGGGATGATAGGAGATTGATCCAAGATGGCCGACCACTAACAGCTCAGGATTGTAGCTCCCAGTGAAAGCTCAGAGAACGAGACGACGCCACATCTTTAGACGAATTTTCGTCACTCACCGATCAGCCGATTCCCAGTGGAGGAGCCCCACGCGTCGCCAGCGCAACTCTTGTGGCCGCCGCAGCGGTTTTGCCGGCGTCTCGGCGCAGCAGCTCTTCATGCAGAGCCAACGGGACTGCCTCCCCTACTGACCGGAGTTTGGAGCTCCGGGAAGTCAGAGCCGCTTGTTGCGGACTCAAGAGGGAAGCCAGACCAGAGATTCCCGGGCAGAAGAGCACCATCAGTCTTATCGCTGCTATTTAGGCCGCCACAGTGGGTTGCTCAGATCCCAGCACTGGGAATCAATAAGTCTGACGTCGACTCAGAAACCTAATTAGAAAGGCAGTTTATCTAAAATGAAGGGAAAAAAACAGCCTAAGAAGGCCGAGTATACTCAAAATCAGAACCCATCAGCAACGGAACAAGCCCTGATGGAAAAGGACTCATCAGCAACCGAACAAGCCCTGATGGAAAAGGACTCATCAGTAACGGAACAAGCCCTGATGGAAAAGGACTGTGTTCCATTATCTGAAGTAGGCTTTAAAAGGTGGATGATAAGAAACTTCTAGGAATTAAAGGAACTTGTTCTAACCCAATGTAAAGAAACTAAGAACTTGGAAAAAAGGTTCGATGAAATGTTGAAAAGAATAGACAATATAGAGAGGAATACAAATGAACTTATGGAGTTGAAAAATACAACACGAGAACTTAGTGAAATATGTACAAGCTTAAACAGCCAAATGGATCAAGCAGAAGAAAGGGTATCAGAGGTCGAAGACCAACTTAATGAAACAAAACGACAAGACAAGAATAGAGAAAAATGGATAAAAAGGAATGAGCAAAGTCTCCAAGCAATATGGGACTATGTGAAAAGACCTAATATACGCTTGATTGGTGTACCTGAATGTGACGGAGAGAATGAATTCAAGCTGGAAAATACTCTCCAGGACATTATCCAGGAAAATTTTCCTAATTTAGCAAAGCAGGACACTATTCAACCCCAGGCAATACAGAGAACACCACAAAGATATTCCTCAAGAAGACCAACCCCAAGGCACATAATCGTTAGATTCACCAAGATCGAAACGAAGGGAGAAAATATTAAGGGCAGCCAGAGAGAAAGATCAAGTTACCCATAAAGGTAAGCCTATTAGGCTTACAGCAGATCTCTCAACGGAAACCCTACAAGCTAGAAGAGAGTGGGGGCCAATATTCAATATACTTAATCAACAGAACTTTCAGCCCAGAATTTCATATCCTGCCAATTTAAGCTTTACATTTGAAGGAAAAATAAAATCTTTTAGGAACAAGCAAGTACTCAGAGATTTTATTACCACCAGGCCTGCTTTACAAGAACTTCTAAGAGAAGCATTATACACAGAAAGGAACAACCAGTATGACCCTTTCTAAAAATACACCAAAAAGTAAAGAGCATTAACATAAAGAAGAATTTTCATCAACGAAAGGACAAAATAGCCAGTTAATATCAAAGGGCAGCAACCCTAAACTTAAATCGACCAAATCTCCCAATCAAAAGATACAGACAAAATCTAACAGTATATCCAAAGATATACATAGACTCAAAATAAAGGGTTGGAAAAAAAAAAAACGTACCAACCAAATGGAGAGCAAAAATAAATAAAAAGGAGGAGTTGCAATTTTCATACTTGACAAAATAGATTTCAAAGCTACAAGGATACAAGGGTAAAAGGATTAATGTAATAATAAGAGATCTTAACACCCAGATACATAAGACCCATAATGAGATTTAGATTCAAAGAGACAGAAAATTGATAACGATATCCGGGACTGGAACTAAGATCCAGAACAAATAAACTCAATAGAGCTCTCCATTTTAAACACACAAAATATACATTATCCACAAAATCTAACGATATATCTAAAGATATACAAAGACTCAAAACAAGGGGATGGAAAAAAACTCACCAACCAAATGGAGAGCAAAAATAAATAAATAAAAAGCAGGAGTTGCAATTCTCACACTTAATAAAATAGATTTCAAAGCTACAAGGATGCAAGGGTAAAAGGATTAATGTAACAATAAGAGATCTTAACACCCAGATACATAATAAGACCCATAATGAGACTCAGATTCAACGAGACAAAAAATTGATAACGATATCCAGGACTTGAACTCAGAGCCAGAACAAATAAACACAATAGAGGTCTCCATTTTAAACACATAAAATATGCATTAACCACTTTAAACATTCAAAATATTGATCGGCCATTATTGAAACCCATTTTAGGAATGAAGTAATATTCCTTTTTCCCTCTTTTTCTTTTTTTCCCCTTCTTTTTCTCTTTTTCCCTAAAAAAAAAAAGACACAGACACAGATATAGATACATCTGTAGATGGAAACACAGACACAGACACAGATATAGACACAGATGTAGACACAGATGCAGTTACCTACATAGACAAAAAAAAAAAAAAAAAAAGGAGGCTGCCTGCCTCAGCCTCCCAAAGTGTTGGCATCACAGGCATAAGCCACCTTATCCAGCCTAGATTTTTTTTTTTTAATTAGTAACAACGTTTTTGCGGGTGGTATGGGTTGAGTATCTCTCTCTCTTTTTTTAAAAAAAAAAATAAATAAATAAAAGGGGATGATAATCCCTGCTTCACCTCCAGTGAGGGGGTGTCATAGGGCTCAGATGTAGATGCCCTGGATGCATGAGAAGAATGGCTATGAGTACTTGACCCAAATCAAGCAGGGCTTCTGCCCTTGATATGTTAAGTGCACAGGTTCACATGAGAGTCAGCTGGATGGGCAGAGAAAATCTACAAGAGAAACAAAGGTAGCATTCTGGAAGCAGCCCAGGAACACAGGGGAGGGCCACGCTGCTGCCCAGCTGGGAAGGATGCTGAAACAGAAGGCTCTGGATGGGAGTGGGGAAGAGATGCCTCCCAGGAACAACAATGACATGTTCTATAAATGCCCAGGGCCTGACCACACCCAAGTCAACAGATAAAACAGTTTTCAAAGGCTCCAAGCCAAGGATGTGAGTTGATCCATGTGGCCCCGTGCACCTCTGCCTCTCTGGAGGCTCAGCCTGAACCACGGCACTGCTCCCCCTGCGTCTCCTGGAAAATCACTCCATAGGACCAGTGCTCAGGTGGTTGCTGGGAAAACAAGGGAACACCTCTGCAGCTCTCCTCACCCAGTTCCAGATGGCCCTTCCAACGGGATACGCATCAGAGCACATGGCCAGCAAGGGTACCTGTTTCTCCCAATCTTGCCCATTGGGACATTCACATTACACAATGTTACAACAATGTTTAAAACTGCTAATGGAGCAGGTACAAAATGGCAGCACGGAGGGCATATGCTCTTTATAAAAGCCCAGGTCCCCGAATTGGACAGGCTTGGTTTGAATCCTGTCTCTGTGGTTTTTCTAACTGTAGGGTCTTGGGCAAGTTACTTAACCTCTGTGCCTCAATTTAAAATAACATTATTAATTGTTAATAAAATAATAATAATAGGTATAGGCCAGGTGCAGTGGCTCACACCTGTAATCCCAGCACTTTGGGAGGTCATGGCAGGCAGATCCCTTGAGGTCGGAAATTCAAGAACAGCCTGGACAACATGGCAAAACCCATTCTCTACTAAAAATACACACACATACA